AGGTCTGAATGTAGTCTCGAGTCCTAAACGCCTCTCTAACAAAGCTAGCAACCCTCTGTTGGTTTTAGAGTTTTAGGGCTAGCATGAACTTATCACCAGATAAGTACCGGTACCAGAAATCATGGCGTTACAGCTCACAGCGCATGCGCATAAGCTATTATAGGGGACTTCTTCAGTGCTTTGCAAATCTGAACCATTGTGGTCTTGCCATCTGGACGTTGTTGCCAAATGGCAAAATCTTGTCCGCAAGTACCGTGGCTTGTCCAGCCCTCGTGTGACAGGTAGCCGCCTCCTGACATCATCAACTCGTGTGCGCGACGTCAGTCAAATCATCAGATATTTAACCAGCCTTTCGCCTCCGGTTAAGGTCTTGAGTTACTGGAACCCAATTTGGGACAATGTCTGGCTAACCACTGTAGCTAGTTACGTGCCCGGGCCCCGAGTCAGTGATATAGAATTCTTCAAAGCTTCTCGCTGACCTCACTTCAGCAAACCGTAGGTTGTTTGTGCCGCTAACCGAAACTACCGAGCATGGCAACAAACAGCAATCATTGGTGGGGCGGCCTATTGAATGCAAATGATGGCATAGGCTATGGTATTAAATACTGACATCATTGGTCAGCTTGAAAATTTTCGCCACCGCCCGGTGATTGTGGCATGCATGACTCCCTTGACTGCTGCCAACTTCCAAGGGGCTTGCCTCCACTAAGAATCGCAGCCCGGGGGACGGTAGGGTTGGTTTGGTTAGGATGGGTAGGGGTGCGGATCGCGTAAGGTTTGGTTTAGGGTTCTAGTTTGAATTGCCCGGGGCTCCTGAATCTGAAGAGACAAACCCCTTGGAAGACAAGGGAGTTGCCACTATCGCGTACACTGCGATCAATCAGTGGCCGGCGGCTCCGGAGGCGGTTCGGCCCACTGTGACTTGGCACTCCGTCGTCCCGATCGGTCCCGATCTAACACTCATACATGTATGCCATGAGAAGCCTATGGCCTATTGGCTACGGCGAGTATGAAAAGTGACCATCGGTACGAAATGGCAGAGCCGGAAGCTCACTCGGGCTCTCACTTCCCAACCGGTACCTAGTGAGAAGTTCTGTTTGAAGAACAGGTCACACTCTTGTTACGTATTACATTCGCGAGGCGGACTCCTGGCCGCCTGCCATTTCAAAAGTTTTCATGCGCCATGGAAGAGGGCAGCTTAAAGTCGGAACATGATGTTGGTTTGCAGCTGAGCGGTCAAGATATTATTGTAATTGCAAGTTGAAATGTAGATCGAGGCCTTCATGCGAAAGAGTCGAGTGGGCAAGCTTTGGCTTATGCAGTCATGCAATTGACTGCATCAAAGAATTTGCATTCGCCCCTTGCATTGACATTGGTGAACTCCATTTTCAACCTTTTTGCAGCGCACAGAATTTACGAGCTGACCAACACTGTGTCGGGAGGCCTCATACATCGATAAACGGTTGGCATTTGACAACTCGTTTCCCACCAGAAACTACTGTACTGGCATATGTTGCGCGCGCACCTTTGGCGCGGTGTCTAAACACTTTTAAAGTGTCAACCAGATCGCCGACATTTCCGACAGGGGACAGCCCCGACCACCGGCGCCGCAGGCGAAATTTTTGACAGGCGACAGGGGGAAGACCCGTCGAACCGACCGGGGGCAAAAGAATTGACACAATCTCACCGGACAGCCCCCCCCGCCCCGGGGCCGGCCGCCACCCCCGGAAATTGTACCGTCGTTATAAAACTTATTTAAAGACAACCGGCTGCTACACGGATGAGTCCTGCCGGGGCCCATGTCCCGGTTGTACCTGCCCATCCTGAATTGTAGCCTTCGTTTATTGAAGAAAGCAACCGGGTACCGACCAACGGTTGCCACCGGTATGGTCGACGGTAGCCGAAATCTGCGGGCTTGAACATGACCGTGCGGCGGGCACTGAATTCAATGTACCTGCGTCTCCAGAGTCTACAATACGGGTACCGGCACTCTGCAGATAGGTAAGTAGACTTGCAATTGCTTGAATGGTACGTACCCGTACGAGTACGGCAGTACTGCAGGTACTGTACCACCGTAGGCTACGGACGTACCTACGGTGATCAACTCTTCGAGTACCCACCGTATCAATAATATGCATATTTGTTTTTTAGAAATGCACAAATTCCGATTTTCATTTCGGTCAGTACGAATCCAATTGGCTTTTGAAATATATAAAAGCTATCGGTTGAAGCGGGAAACTTGGCAGAAGCAGCCTCGAAATGCGACGCTCCAAGTGAACGCATAGGGCTTCCAGAATGTGGTCGGACGGGGGTCGGACCTCATAATAATTCATCTTCACCTGACGGATTGGTTCCATTCCGACTTCGAAAAGCTAAATGCATATTTCGGTGAACGTGATATCGCCCAACTTTGGCCGCCGCTAAAATGCACAGCTAAGTTGAGTCGGTGCATCAATGCGACAGCCGCCCCCCCCCCCCTCCGACCGTTTTCCTTACTTGATTGGCCTAGAATACACAGAAAATGCCCTCGTGCACGACAGGTGACAGGTCCCCACCCCCCCGAATCTAAGTGAAGCTTGCGACAGGGGACAGCCCCAACTGGCATCCGGGTCGTCAATGTCGGCGATCTGGTTACAGGCTTAAATATGTTTTGACACCGCGCCTTTAGCTGTCCGCATATGTAAGGAAAATATGCTCAATCGAAAGCCCTACCCTTGAATTGCTGCCAAGATTTAATAGCTCATGTCCATTTAAGTATGACATGCAAGTTCACTTCAAAGTCTTTTACCCGTGCTGATGTTTTGAAGCTAAGGGGTTACGTTACATGATAGTTATGCAGCGGGAAAAGTACCCCCATCAGTGATGCAATCACCCAAGTATACAAGGACTTGGGTTGAAATGGAAGTCTAAGCCAGTCTGACATCACCGGTAGTTAGTTGCACCAAGGCCTCCAACAATTCTGTCGACTTGTGAAGCGG